GAGTACAAAGTGGATGATTTGGTGTTAGTCTGTTTTCCCCATCTTAGGGTACGTGGTTTATCTAAGGGGCTCCTTGCACAGTGGAAAGGACCGTATCGGGTGTTGCGGCAAGTTGGACCACAAGTTTATGAGGTTCGGCATGACGTCCAGCAGGCCGATCCTCCAGAGATTGTGCATGTGCAGTGGTTGAAACGCTTCATACAAAGGGATCAGGAGCAGTTAATACCATCTACAGATCCGCCGATGCCTCCTCCTGATGTTCCTCCAGATCCCGGCCCGTCTACAAGAGAACCCTGATGGTCTTCCATTATCCTGAGAGGGGGGGATGATGTGAGGGCCAAATGTACGGCTACGATGCCGTATACTAATATTAGCGTAGTGGGATTTTGGTAGCCGTCGGATTAGTTTCAATCCAGACCACTCGCTCCTGTATATAAGCTAGGGTTTTTGGGCTAATTGATATGCACATTTCTGTATTCCCTTTCCATATTCCAAGCACTCACACTATGAATAAATTTGAAAACTTATTTTGCAATTAATAAATATATCCAGAAGGGTTAGAAATACATAGCCAATTGTGTTTTTTCATTTTCTCATGAAGGATTGCCCATAGAAGCTCTTTGAGGGAAGAAGTTACACCTTCTACAAAAACCTCCAGAGTGCTCCCCACCTCGGTGTCCCACCCTCCTGCCACTACACAATCCCGACACCCCCATGCTCACTAGTGTGCCACTACTCTTTTTGAACTTTTTGCCCAAATCTAACAATATGACCAAAATTCTCAGTCCATGAGACATGAGAGTTTGAACATTTTTTCTATTTGCTTCCACTAGTATGGCATTTATACAAGATTCCATACAGAAATGACTTTGGGGTCTCAGGTAACCTGACTTTATTGTTATCAAGTACATACCTTTGTCTCACCCATGTCTCAGGAGAATGCCAAAACCTCTATTATATCAAAGATATTTGAAGTGCAAAATGAAAGATATATCCCAAATGGAGTTTAAGTTGTTTTCAAACAAATTCATTCATGCTTTTGATTTCTCTTGCAACCAATCATCTTTGAGCTTTGTAAACTCTGTAATGATGAAATCCTTGAATAGAAGCTAGTCACTGGCAAACAAAAAAGGTGAGGAAATTTGGCTTTCACACATATTGGACTTACCCACCCCTTGTCCCCCATCTTGGTCCTTGCAAGGGTCAGCAAGTGTGGTTCGTGCATGTACCAAAATTGCCTTGCCTCCTTTTGCCTGATGGGGTGGCCATTGTTTTGGTGATGTGCCTTCTGCAGAGTTGGACAAGCAAAAGCACATAACAAAAGAAAACAAACAAGAAAAACAGCTATCTCAACAATTACCTTTGGCACCATTGTCAAGATCTCAGCACTCTCTACATCCCTTGGTGCTCTCTCTTTTTTCTCTCAATGACAGTCTCTCCTGTTATTTCCAGGCTATGAAACTAGACAGACAGCTACCAAGCTAAACACGTCATGTGCTCCAGAGCTTCTCCCATGTCCAGCAAGAAGATGTTTATGCCCACCAGACCCCATGCATGTGGTGCTTTTGGGCACTTGTGAGTAGCAGATACCGCGTCGTGGCATTTGTATGGCATGTGCACAGGGATGTGTCTGGTGTATGTGAGGCTCTTGAACATGCGGTACACATCTAGTGCGCCCAGACATACATCAAACTCCTCCTCCTTCGGGTTCTTGATCCTTGAAGGATCGCTTGATCTTCTAGAGGGAAAGGTCCAAGCAAGGAAGTAAGCCACCCTGCTCCTCAATAGTG